GTCAGGCATCGTCATACCTATGCCTGCTAGTCTCCAAACACGGCTATTACTATTACTTCAACACAAACGCGGGGACATTTACGACGGAGCCTAAGGGAATGAGGGAGGGGGGAGCAAGGTTTTATACTGCTGGGCATGGGAGAGAAGGGTGGGAGCATGACACAGGAGTGGAATGTGGGTATGTGTGGCATGCGAAGAGGCAGGGAAGCAATTGGAGGATCGGGAAGGCAAGGGGTGTGTTGGGTTCGACAAGGAGGAGAGGGGATGGTAGGGAGAGTCCTGCATACGAGCAGGACTCAGCAAAGGCAGATCTGCAGGCTTCGACTGCTGCTTCAGGTACCGCAGGGCACTGAGGACTGCCTGAGGCCGGATTACTTGGCTCATGTACGACTGTTTGTACTGCAGCTTGCGCTGCAGGCCCACAAGCACAGTTTCGCTGTCATCAAAGTGCCGAGGTAGCAATTGCTGGACACGGGTTAAATCGGCGGGGACACTTACGACGGAGCCTACAGGAATGGGGGGGAGCAAGGTTTCACACTGCTGCGCTTGGGAGAGAATGGTAGGAACAGGACACAAAAGTGGAATGTGGTATGTGTGACATGGGAAGGCATGGGGAGAGACAGGGAAGCAATTTGAGGATTGGGGATGCAAGGCATGTGTTGGGTTGGACAAGGAGGTGAGATGATGGTAGGGGGAGTTTGGGAGCCAAGGTTTGGCAGGGGAGGGACGGGGATGGAAGTGAAGGCAACGGGATGAGAGGGAAGAGTCGTTAGGGCAGAAGGGGCAAAGGGATGGAAGCACAGGGATGGGGACGGGATGAATTGGCAAGGGGTGTTGCGGGGGGAGAACGATAAAAGCATGGAAGCTGAGGGAGGGAGTGGGCAGGGGATGGGGTAGGAAAGCAAGGACAGCGACGGCGGTGAAAGGAAAGCGAGGGGAGGTAAGGCAAGAGGAAGCAAGGGGTGGGGAGGACAGGGCGGTGGGAAGGCTTGCGCAGAAAAGGGAATCGAATTGGACCGCTTTCAATGGTAGGCTATGCCATCCATACCTTTTAGTCCATGTTGGTTTCCAGTTGGAAGTTTCCGTAACTGCAGGAATGGTATGCGTATAGCAATCAACCGTTCTGCAAGCTCGGGAATGCATAGCAGCTCAGGTGGAACCTCTGGAGGTTCAAGCCCGTTGTGTAATGAAAACCTTGGGCACCGGTCCCTACGAATGCTGCCAAGGCATGTGTGGCATATGTAGCCCACACCGCACCGTGTTACCCAGCCCGCTAGATTGGTAGCCCACTCCTCGTTGAGTGTGTCATACATGTTTTCCGTGACCTCCACAACTGATTGCCTGAACAGCTTGCGTTTGCAGCAGCAGCAGGCATACCAGCAGGACTCTGCAAAGGCAGATGTGCAGGCTTCCTCTGCTGCTTCAACTGTATTATAGGTGCACCTCTGCACACCGCTGTACGTGTCGAATGCTGGCAGTGCATCGTCACCCAACTCGTCTTCTTCAGGGGTTCGTGGGTGACATTTGTGCATGTTGGTTGCGGCAACTAATATTAAGTGATAAGTTTACTTGAGTGCAGCATTCATCCAACAACCTTTTCTAACATGCATTCATAACTAACAACGTACCTATACCGCTCTCCTCTTGAGCGCGGCTTGTAACATTCTGACCTTCTTCTGTGCAATGATGCTTTGTCGTCAGCGAAACAGTGGTTACCTTCAAAGGCTTCACTCTGAGTAACCATACCTTTGTGAATTTGGTCCTTCCGCAGTCGATACCGCACTCCGCGTGCTGTAACACTGGGCCGCCCCATTTCAAGCAGCACTGCCTGTGGCGAAATATCCTTTCCAGTAGCCTCGATCGTGTATAATGCTTGTTTATAAGCCTGCTCATCTTCAGCACACCACCGACAGCGTTTTTTGGGTGGTGGCGGACCAGACTTCTCCACTTCGTTAACAGCTGCTTCATTAGTGCCGCTGCCAAGCCTTAATACTTTACCACGATTGGTTTTGTAAATAAACTAAATATAAACCAAAAATAAAGATCCCTAGTTGCTTCTTGGTAACATTGGCAAATCGAGTGCCCTTGGTTAAGCTTTCTGCTAGGTGCTTGACAGTAAGTTTTCCATTCTCTACAGCTATACGTTCTGCAGCTTGTTGCAGCGCAAACAGTTGGTCAGCGCAATCAGACCAGCGGCGTTTGCCCATGCTGCTTCATAGCAACAGATTAACAACATAGCTATTCTAACGCTACTGTGAAGGCTTCATTGTGTATAACTACAACAACAATCCGTGTTCAACCAGGAAAGACAAACAGGCACTGTAAGGAAGCACGTGTACGACAGCCCCTTTCCTAACAAACATTTTCAATGTTTCGACTTCGTGCGCGATGTTGCCTAAGCAGGAAATTTGCTGAGGACCATAAGTCCGGGGGATTCCCTAAGGCTTTCCCTTGCTTCCACGGCGCGGCCTAGCGGAGCGCCTAGAATCAAGGGCAGGCCAAAAAAGCCGCCAAAAAAGCCGCCTTGCGTAGTAACACTAGTGAGACATGTGCCGCGCCGCCGGTCGCGAATTCCAAGGCAACAAGGATATTGGGTATACAAGCATACACGTTACGAGAAACTTACCTGGAGAGTGAACCCACGAGAACATGGTCATAAGGATTGGAGACGCAGACCAACAGAGCCGCACCAGGGTCGTGTCCAGTGTCCAGTAGCAAGAGGTTGTCAATATGCGGACATAATAGGGAAAAACCGGAAGCAGGGCGCGTTAATGCGGAGGTGAGTAGTATTGATGAGGCGAGACTGGAAACGAAGGCGTGCGAATATGGCGTGGTAGGGTTTCCTATGGACACGGCGGCGCGGCATTGGGAAGGAAGAATGGGTGGAAATTTGCAAAATAGTAGTGATGTGAAATTAGTAATGGTGTTGAATGCTATGCATGTTGGGCAGGTGCACCCCATTGCACCCGCATTTCACGTGCCAGGCGCCTTGGTGTGCCAAAAGTTTATGCGCTCTACCGTACATTCGCGCTATTCCCACTAACGGGCTTTCTGATTGGGCTAGCCCAATCAAGCGCTTGAGCTCTGCTCGCCCGTCATCCATGGCCCAATTTCTGGCGCGGCCTACACCATGGTTCTGAATTCTGGATATGGTCTACAGGATGTGAGCTGCTGGGCTTGCTGGCGTTGGCGAGGCGCTCTGGCGTGATTGTGGCGTTCCAGCATGATGACCTCCTTTGGACCGCTCTGGAGCGCATTCCCGCAGTTTAGCCTGCCCTACAGCGCGCTATCCCTTAGGTCCTTACTGTTGGGCTTGTGCGGCGTCAGGAAACCTTTTAACGAAAAAGGTCTTCCCCCAGTGGCACTGGGAGCCGTTGGTATCGCGCGTGCTTTCTTTAAGGAGGGCTTTAGCCTTTGTGCTAAGTCATCAGGCTTGGGTCTGGCGCTGCTGGGTGGCTGTCGGCATGCCACTGTTTGGTCGGCCTGATGCGCAGATGTCACTTGGTATGCCTTGGTGGCTTGCTGCACTCTTCTCCGTGACAGTTTCGTTTCGGATTCCGTGGTTGCGGGCCGCGATCTTTCTGGTGCTGGTTTGGCGGCATCTGTGAGTCGCATTTCTCTGGGACCCTGGTTGCTAGGTTGGCAGTACCTGCACATCGGGTTTTGGGGAGCTAGTTTGACAGCCTCTCTTGAGTTGTTTCTCTGGGACCTAGTTGCCTGTCCCTGTATCTGTTTGGCACGGTTCCCTGCCTTGTGCACGGCGTGCCCCCTGGGGTAGGGCAATCGACGCCCTGTTAGAATGTACGTCTGGCGATGGTCTCAGCTACTGTCCCCCAGTGTAACACCCGCTTCCTAAAGACCACTGTGTATGTTGGGCCAGCTAGAGCCATAGGGACACTGCCACCCGCAAACTCCACACAACGGTTCGAATACTAGCGCACATTGCATTCATTACAACAGGTGTCCTAATCTGCTTTTCGTTTGGCAAAACAATACCTAGGAAATAAGTTTCAAAGATTAAAGGAAAAGTCGCTGGGGCTCTGGACCCACCTACCCACCCCTGACGCCTTATCACACAGCCAGTTAGTTGTTTCCTCTTTACCCACCCCTGCCGTACGACCTAATTTGAGAGCCCATTTTTCGTACGGCTCCATTTACAAATTTGAAAGCGGCTTTGGAAAGCTCTCGCCGATATCTATAATATTGAAGCATGGGGTCATTCTTCGGCGAAACTACCCCCCATGGGCAAAGTGTTTTTTTCTTTAGGCAGTGCAAGGGGTATTGGCGTATTGCACAGCAAGAACGTAGGACATGCAGCACCCCTGCTGGCGACAAATGTTGCTGGCGGTCGGATCTGTAAGTAAACCCCACCAATGCGCATGACTTAAACTTAGAGAGCTGAACGTAACCGAGGACGCGACAGCTCATGCTTTTTGGCCAAGTGAAGCAATAGCAGTCCCAATCCCATATATGGGATAAGGGAGACATGGGGAGGGGTTAGTGGGGAGGGGCCCACCCCGGCCCCTCACCTAAGGCTTCAGTTGGTCGTTACTACGCGCCGCACGTCTAGCGCTTCCTTTTGTAATTAGCCTATCGATTGCTAACATAAAGAGCAGGTGGGGTAGAGGATGTTGGGAGGGGTGTAATGGGGCTGAGGCTGCGTTTGGTCGTGCACTCCTCGCGCCGCCTCACTTTCATTAGCCCAACATTCAATTGTCCTTTTACTGTTTTCGCTACGTACTCGGTTTGCGGCCTTCCTGTCGGGCACGGTGCCCCCTGGGGTAGGGCAATCGACGCCCTGTTGGACGTTTGCCTAATGATAGGCTAATACGGATACCTGGTCGGTCCTCCATTGTAGTCAAGGCTCCCTGCACATGCGAATGGTCATGGAAGCATCTCTGGCCCCAGCACATGCCCAGGCAATGCCGCACTGGCTAATCGCCCTTTTAACGCCCTTTTCGTGCCTCCCGTCCCCGGCCCTCCCATCCGGCTCCTCTCACCTCGCGGCGGATGGCTAGTGCACTCTGCTCCGCCTTGACGAGGGCGGTTCGGGAGCTGTCGGCCACCCGAATCAGCTCAGCCTCGCGACTAGCGGCGGCCTGTCAGCCACAGCCCAGCGGAGAACACCGTCATACGCAACAGGAACGAGAGTGTGGTGGGGTGTCAGTCTAAGCAATGCGCAAAATGGCTGATCCCACTTGCAATGATTTGTCCCCAGCCACACATCGCGCCTTCCTTTACGTCGTCAATCAACCACCCATCATATGCCCCAACCCCATACCCCCTTTCATATTTGTTTCATTCTTCTTTACCCCGTAAACCCCAAGACATTGTCCCCCACCTGGACCTTTTTATCTAGCTCGCTGCTGCGCTCCATGTAACCCGAGAGCGCCGCACTCAGCTCGGACACTCGAGCATCGGCCGCCGCATGTGTCCGCTGCGCCTCACCACGCAGCGACTCCACCTCGCAAAGGAGGCCAACCACCCGGCCATGCAGCTCCACAACCGCATCCTCGGAGCGCAAAGCCGCCGCGGCCTTGGCGTCCGCCTCGTAACGAGCCTGCCGCAGCTCGGCAGAAATGGACTCGATACGGGTTTGCAGCGCAGCCACGTTACCCGCTGCTCGGTGCACCTCGGCGCGTGCCTTCCCTAGAGCTCCCTGCAGGCCCTCAACCTCCTGCCGCAGCTCCGCCTCAGCCGCTGCCGACCCACGGGTCTGCTGCTGCAGCTCCGCCTCTAAGCCGGCCACCCGGACGCGCAGGGACTCCATGGCTGCTTGCAGCGACGCCACCTCACTCGCCGCGCGGTCCGCCTCCATAGCTTTGGCTGCGGCCGCTGCTACGGACTGCTCGAGCTCGCCATGCAGCGCCGAGATTTCGCCACGCAGGGAACGTACGAGTACCTGGGCCAACTCGAGCTGCTCAGCCGCCTCCACAGCGTTAGTGTTCGCCTGCTCCAGGGCGGTCTGCAGCGCGGCATTGTCGCCGCAGAGAGAGGCCAGCTGGGCCTGCAGCGAGGCGAGCTCGGAGGCGGTGCGGCGGGCCTCTGCGGCCTTGGCGTCAGCAGCCGCAAGGGCATGCTGCAGGCCGGCTTGGAGGGCACCCGCTTCGTTACGCAGAGTACTAGCCTCGTCAGACGCGCGCTCCGCCTCCTGTTCGTGGAAGGATGGAGAAAACAGACGGCTCAGATCTAACGAACGGAAAGCTGTGTACATCGCCGCAATCCCGAATGCCCCTCGCGCCCTTATCTCCACCCCTCCCCACCTGCTTGTAGCGCAATGCTTTCTCCCGCTGCTTGTCCGCCGCGCCACGCAGCTCCCGCATCTCGCCCTGCTGCTCCACCAGCTGCCGCGCCGCCGCCTCCTGGCTGCCCTTTAGAGCGCGTGCAGTGGCCTCCAGCGCCGAGTGCGCCTCCTGTAGCTCGTCCAGCTGGGCATGCAATTGGTGTCGAGCGGCGCGCTCAGACTCCAGGTCCGCCTGCCAGGTGGGAGGACCGCGATATGGGATGACCGGTAAGGTAGAGGTGGGCATCCTCGAGACACCCCAATTCCGCTTCCATCAGCCATGCTTGCCTCCTCCTTGTGATCCTCAGGCTCCTTTCTTCCCCACCTCCTGGACCTCCGTCCTGCTTTCCCTACTGCGCCTTGCCGCAGTAGTTGGCAACTTCTAGTCCCCTCCCCACCCCTCTCCTCACCTCGTTCTGCTCCAGGTGTTCTGTCATGCGGTCCAGCTGCTGCTCCAGGTCGGCTGCACGCGCGGAGGCAACCGCTGCCTCAGAGGCGCTGGCGGACTGGGCGGCCTGAGAAGGGAGGGTCGGAGATAAACCAAAACCACAAGGGAGAGTGGGGAGGAAGAGGGGTTGCTTGTACGGGAGGAGGAAAAGTGGGGAGCAGCGGTAAAGGACGGCCCACTGCATTCGAGCAGCCGTCCAGGGGCGGCCGCGGCTGAGCGAGGCCTCATGACCCGGACGGTTCCCAGCGCAACCTTCTCTCCCAGCGCGCTCAACGTTATTTCCTCACATCTCACCCCAGCACCGCCCCTCCCCAACTCACCTTCGCCTTCGCCAGCCCCCTGCCCGCCGCCTCCAGCTCCCACCCCAGCTGCTCCAGCCGCGCCTCCGCCGCCTCACGCGCACCCTCAACCTCCGCCAGCCGCTGCTCGCCCCCCGCCACCGCCGCCTGCAGGCTGGCGACCTCAGCCTGCAGCGCGCGGCCGGCAGTGTGGGATTTGTGCAGCTCCTCCTGGAGGAAAGGGGTGCAGGCGAGGATGGAGCAGTGGGGGGTATCGGTGCCTCACACTGCGCTGGGATCAGCATCGCAAGGAGAGCGAGGGCAGGTGAAACAGCACTTTTTAAGATAGCCCATGTCACGAGTGGCCGCAAAACATGTGAAGTAAGGACAGGGCCAAGTGAGGGAACGAACGAGCGCTTCGGCAGGAATAGACGAGCCAGCAGGTGCCCTCACGCCTGGCCCACTTCCCCTGGATCCTTCCCTTTACGCCTTCCCCGCTTACTGCCCCCATCCTCCCACCTTGTACTCGTTGAGCTCCTCTTCTAGCTGCGTGCACCGCTCCAGCAGCGCTGCAGCGCCGCGGGAGGCGGCGTCCCTGGCGGCCTGGCGGGGGATGAATGGAAAAGCAGCAAGGGAATAGAGGAGCAAGGAGTGCGTTGCTGGGAATGTTAAACCCGAAGGCAGACTCTATAACAATCTGTACACAGTTTAAACAGTTGATACACGTACACAGTGTATCCGTGCGAGGCAGGGGCCAAGGGCACAAGAAGGAACAAGGTTGTCAGGGTCAGGTCCCCTAACGCGCCACCGCTGAAGGCCTCTGCGCAGGTGATACCAGATAGCCATGCGGTTTCAAGCATGCGGCCCAGGTAGCCAGGCAGGGCCTCGGGAGGGGCAGAGGTCATGATCTCCCTCATGGACCTACTGCTTAAGTTCGGAACCCTCGTACACGCGGCGTAGCTCGTCGTAAACAGGAGCATTCCATGAACGCTTGCAATCCATCCTCATGCATTTATGCAAGTCATCCTCCTCAAGTTTAACCTCGACGGCATTTTTATCACTGTTTGCTACATCCTGCGAACCCTTCCAGACCTGGGGCAACTCCCGTGCGAGTTCGCCTCAAGATCCCAACACCCCAGCCTATACCACATTAAGACATTTGCTTGCTGCCGGGGAGGACGGCACAAGCGTGAGAGATCCGAGCCAGGGCGTGGGCTCTTCCCTGGGAAGGCAAGCCTATCCACTGGGCATAGCGGCACGCCTTGACACATCTGGGCGCCTGATACTACGCACTATGTACTCGTCTGTGAAGGTCACACAACACGCATCCTGCGTGTAGTCTCTTGCGCTCTTGCCAACAATACCCTGCTGCGGGAGCTTGTTTGCCGTCCCTTACCCCTCCTCGTCCCTCTCCAGAGCTCTCACCTGCAGCTCCGCCACCTGCTGCTGCTCAGCCGCCAGCGCCTCCGCCAGTCGGTCCCGCTCCGCCGCCAGCTCCGCCACCCGGCCCTCCGCCGCTGCGCTCACCGCGCCCAGCCGAGCCTGCAGCTCCGCCATCTGAGCGACCGAGGTGGCCGCCTCCTGCTGCAGGGCCGACAGCTGCACCGCGCGGTTGGTGAGCTCAGCCTGAGGTGCGACATGTGGGACGGCATGCGGCGTTACATGGTTGGGGGACGAGCATGTATAGGTCCAGGCGCAGGACCTCCAACTGAACTGCTCTTAAGACTAGCGACTACCTTAGTGGTCCTAGCTCTACAGACGCTTGCATTCACAACAAAACCATTCCATCTACAACCACAACGCCAATGCAACTCACCTCCATTTTCGCCAGCCGACTGCGTGCCCCGCCCAAATCCGTCCTCGCCCGCGCGCCCGCCTCCTGCTCCGCCATCTGCGCCTTCACCGCCGCCTCCAGCCGCGCACGCGCCTCCTCCAGCGCCCGCTCCGCGTCCGCCTTCTCGCGAGCTAGCGCCTGTGACAACTGCTGCGCGCGCCAGGTTGCGGCGGTGGCCTGCTCGGTGGCGTCACGTTGAGCCGCGGTCACCGCCTCCAGCTGTTCCAAAGGGTGGGATGAAAATCAGGATATGGGGTAGGGTGAAATATTTGCTTGTTGACATATTAGCTTGTTACGGGGTAGGGTATCATGTTAGCTTGTTGTCAATATTAGCTTGTTGTCAAGGATGGCGGCAACCTGTGGTGAAAGCTCCCGAAGAATACATGCCATTGGTTTATTCCGACTTATCAGGTCCAATGCGTACCAAACTTACCAACATGGAAGGGGCTTACCAATAGATACCGGCTCTCCTGGATGCGAAGTTGGAATGGTAAGCGCCTGCTGCATACCCACCGAGCCGTCGACACGCATAACAAAAACGCAAAAAATGCGTTACATAAGAAACAGACCAGCGCAACCGAAGATGCCTACCAGCGTAGATAATGATGTGTTAAAATAACTGGCCGCGAGGCGAAACGTACTAATAATGATGTGTGCACGGGTAACATAACCATGCCAAGCCGCCATGACCATGTGTTCGGAGTTCGGTTCGGAGAGGCGTGAAATGGTATGGTTGACCAGCCAAGGACCAGACATGTCGGAAGTTGCAATTGGAGCGAAGGTAAGTAAAAGCACTACAGGAATGACGTAGAGGGGAGAAGTCGGGGGAACAATATGCATGCCTCAAAACATGAGAAGACAGGATTAAGATGACGCTGTGGGGTGAGAATGGTCTAGGATGGAGGACGAAGTGGCATTATAGCAGCACGCCAGTAAAGGGCATGCAAAACACATGGGAAAAATAATTGAGGGGTGTGAGGGGACGTATGCGCGCTGTGGCATGGATGATCCGCCGCAACCAGGATGCTCTACTGAAGCCGACATGAGCCAACCATGGGCGCCTCCGCGGTGGCGTTGGCCACCCTCTGAGCGACAGCACTCAAGACATAAACCATATCCTGTAGCCGCTGGGAGGGCTGGTACAAAAACGTGGGGCCGTTCTCGTGACACAAGCAGAAATGGGACTAAACACAACCACCCCCCCATCAGTATGGTAACTAGCAGCCTTCTTGACAGTCCCTGAACCTTAAGAGGTACGGCACAAACAGGGTGGCGACGGCCATACAGAGCACCCAAATTTTCTCAATGGAAGCCCTGCCATTCTATGTATCGCAATGGATTAATCCTGGCTTGGGCGGCGTTCCCATACATCTTCCCCTCGTGCATACCTCTCTGCGTGCCGTCAGCAGTTTGTCCTCTGCTGCGATTAGCTGTGCGGCTGTGGAGGCGGCCCGCGACTCGGCGGCCCGCAACATTTGCTGCGCCTGGCAGAGCTCCATCCCCCGCCGGGATAACTCTTCCTCCTGGGGACGGCAGGAGGGGTGTGCATGAATGCGTGCGTAAGCAAGGAGTAGGGCCATGGGCACACCAGTTGATAGTCCAACAAGACACGCCCTTCTCCCCGCAGCGGCTCGTGGCAAACGGCAAACGACGAGAGGCATGTGCAACCACGCACGTGGCCTAGGCATGCCAGCCGGCATGTCCCTGTAGGGCCCTTCCATTCACCTTTGCTGCTATCTCCTTGCGGAACTCCCCAGCCGCCGCAACAGCCTCTTGCTGCACCCCCTCCAGCCGCGCGGTCAGGGCGGCCACCTCTGCCGCCAGCTGGTCGCGAGAAGCCGCTGCGGCGGCGGCATTGGAGCGGGCATCCCACGTAGCCTTCTTCTGTTGGGACAGGAAGCAGAGCAGGAGGGCAGCGGTGCTGGGAGGGAGAAGCGAGGAGGAAAAGGAGAAAAACCCTAAGCGTGGAAAATATCACGGCCAAGGAAGTAGATGAAAACATACGGAAGCCGAGACAAATGCAATTAAACGTCATTAAAGTACCTGCTCGTATAGCTGAACGCTAGAGATTGCAGCAAGGGCGCCGACTGCAACTGTGAAGAACATGGCCAAGACTTGGCCGAGCGAGACGCTGCCGACCGGCGCTACGGAGATGTCCGCAACTAGGGCATCGACTGGAATAACGTTGGGGACCTGCAGCCGCGAGAAGGAATGACATTGGCCCACGCAAGCGCAGTCGACGTCGCGAAACAAAGTCAACCAGCACTCCCAATAGTGCATCGCCCACGCAAATAGCAACTGGTATCTGCGATAAAAAGCATGTCAGGTGTCTTTTCAAAGCACCTGGTGAGCATTAGCTGGGTTGGCACCAACTGGACGAGGCAGTCCGGTGAAGAGTGTCGCTAGGCCGCTAATGAAGGCGGCCCGTCGGCTTACAGTGCTCGCCGACCCTTGTGATAGCCGTAAAGCAGTGCAGCACGTTACCGTGCGGCGCTGCACAAGACCACAAGATGAGCCCAGACGCATTCCAGGTCGCACTGAATGTACTTTCATTTTGCACAGTACCGTAGAGCGTAGACTCTATAGCGGACAGGTACTCTTGCCCCCTTCGGTTTAGAGCTTTCAAGTTTTGGCTACCAGGCTTTTATTGTTAGTATGCAATATATTTAGCGGTAGCGTACCGTATGTGTGTGTATGTGTACGTGTATGTTTTTTACGGTACTTACAGAGCACAGGGCATGATCGGTGCTGGTTCTCCTGTTGGCCCCCCCCTGGACGGACAGGCTGACAGAGAACTGCCAAACGAAGGCTCTTTTTACCTTCGTATTGACTCAGGGGGTCTAATTAAATTGTTGGTGGCTTTTTATCATTTTGCCTGCATACTCTGACACCGGCACTGGCTAACTGCCACAGTAAACCCCAAACTTGTATTTAATTGCAACTAAATACAACTTTGTAATATGTAAAATCTCCTTTAGCAAAGTTTCACGGTGACCTCAACATAAGTCTGTCGCGTCAGTTCAGCGACGAATCAGAGCTGCCTTATGAGGATTCCGAGGAGGACTATGACAGGGATGAATACGTAACTGTATTGTTGCTGTATCGCCGGCGTTCCTTTGGAAGCGATGATGGCGATAGCGACGACACTAGTAGCGACGATAGTGGGGGCTACGCACAGCAGACGAGGGGGACTCGGACGACTTTGAGGGCGAAGCCAGTTACCGAGTTACCAGTTACCAGAGACGTGGAAGAGCAGGCAGCATATTAAGGTCTTATTAGCTCCTCTCCTTGTCCTTTGCGGGTGACGTTGGGTTTGGGATTCGCTAGTTCACTAGACTCACAGGGGCAGCAACGTCATTCACAAGCAACTCTTTGCCAAGTTCCGGCTGGCATGCAGAATGGCGCAGCACCGGCTGGTGTTGGAGAAAAAAGAAATTCCAATGTGTGTTGTGATAGTGGTGTTGGGGATGGACGTCAGCCTTCCCAAACTGTACATGATGGACACGTTCAGGACCTAGCTGACGCCCTTCCTGCCACACCACTTAGGGGCAGCAACACGGCTGCACCCGGCCACTAGCCCGCCTTCATGAATATTATCATCCCAATATACCGTTATAAGTCCAATGTACAGTGAGCAGAAGCTTGTCGTGGCCACTAAGCATCCTGATAAGCTTGGTTTCCTTACAAAGCTTGATGGGGAGCTTGGGACTATTGCTTGGCTCAATAGCAAGTAATCCGGCAAGATCTCCACGACCTCCAATCCCTTCAAGGATCCAGTACCGGTAGCATCTGGCGGGAGGCGAAACAAGTTGGACCCTGTACGGGTTCATCCCTTACGTGGCCGTGAGCCCCGCGCGCTTATTGTTGACACTCCCCCAGCATCACCACGGCATCAGTCTGTCCTCGTCATATGGGTTCTTACTGCCATAGGGTAAGCATCGTTAACGGATACAATTAAGGCAACAAGCCTAAGGTGCTGGCATGGTGTGAGGCAAGGTGAAATCGTACATGAATGCATGCGCGTGCATAGACATGGTTCAGCATCTACCCGATTTGGACTGATATGCTAGGAACCTCGGTGCCGGTGCGGTGTGAGGCTTGGGGGATACAACTGCAAGGGTCCTCAGTGCTGGCATGGTGTTGCATGCTGCTCGCTAGCCAGAATGAATTTCGCAACGGGAAAGCACTCCCCAAACCCGTCAGCTTCGCAGACACCGGGGCTCGCCCCCTATAAACAAAGACGCTGTCAAGGCTGGCCGTGTTATGATATTGTACATATGGCTGTTTACAGCAGTTCTGCCCAGTAAGGTCCTCGCCCGGATTGTGGGCTCTGAGCATGCTCGCATTAAAGCCCAGGATTATGGGCTCTGAGCATGCTCGCGATTTCGGCCCAGATTCTGGGCTCTGAGCATGCTCGGAGCATGCTCAGAGCCCATGATCAGGGCTCCATGCTCAAGGCACGCATTTCCAGACATGTAACCACCGCACTGGATAGGTTAACGTAGTCGTTTAGCTATGCAGCAATCGCGAGGGGCATTGGACAACCCGGGCCCCACCTAGGAACAACGAGCCCAGTATATGGGCTCTGAGCATGCTCGGAGCATGCTCAGAGCCCATGATCAGGGCTCCATGCGCAAGGCACGCATTTCCAGACATGTAACCACCGCACTGGATAGGTTAACGTAGTCGTTTAGCTATGCAGCAATCGCGAGGGGCATTGGACAACCCGGGCCCCACCTAGGAACAACGAGCCCAGTATATGGGCTCTGAGCATGCTCGGAGCATGCTCAGAGCCCATGATCAGGGCTCCATGCGCAAGGCACGCATTTCCAGGCATATAACCACCGCACTGGATAGATAAACGTAGTCGTTTAGCTATGCAGCAATCGCGAGGGGCGTTGGACAACCCGGGCCCCACCTAGGAACAACGAGCCCAGTATATGGGCTCTGAGCATGCTCGGAGCATGCTCAGAGCCCATGATCAGGGCTCCATGCTCAAGGCACGCATTTCCAGACATGTAACCACCGCACTGGATAGGTTAACGTAGTCGTTTAGCTATGCAGCAATCGCGAGGGGCATTGGACAACCCGGGCCCCACCTAGGAACAACGAGCCCAGTATATGGGCTCTGAGCATGCTCGGAGCATGCTCAGAGCCCATGATCAGGGCTCCATGCGCAAGGCACGCATTTCCAGACATGTAACCACCGCACTGGATAGGTAAACGTAGTCGTTTAGCTATGCAGCAATCGCGAGGGGCATTAGGCAACCCGGGCGCCACCTAGGAACAACGAGCCCAGTATATGGGCTCTGAGCATGCTCCGAGCATGCTCAGAGCCCATGATCAGGGCTCCATGCGCAAGGCACGCATTTCCAGGCATATAACCACCGCACTGGATAGGTAGACGTAGTCGTTTAGCTATGCAGCAATCGCAAGGGGCATTAGACAACCCGGTCGCCACCTAGGAACAACGAGCCCAGTATATGGGCTCTGAGCATGCTCCGAGCATGCTCAGAGCCCATGGTCAGGGCTCCATTCTCAAGGCATGCCAACCTGCATCCATTTCGCGCCACAATCACGGCTACGGACTCCCCATACATAGGCCATGAGGTGGCTAAGAGCTGGGGTCGGTGTCAAGTCATATGCATGCGTGGCAGGGCCGAATGTGCTAGTTGGGCGGGGCATGCAACATGGAACCCGGTCAAACATGCTGTTTTAAGGGGCTGGAGGGCCACCCGGCATCCATTTCGTGCCACAATCACGGCTACGGACTCCCCATACATAGGCCATGATGTGGCTAAGAGCTGGAGTCGGTGTCAAGTCAAATGCATGCGTGGCAGGGCCGAATGTGCTAGTTGGACGGGGCATACATGCAGCATGGAACCCGGTCAAACATGCTGTTTCGAGGGGCTGGAGGGCCACCCGGCATCCATTTCGCGCCACAATCACGACTACGGACTCCCCATACATAGGCCATGAGGTGGCTAAGAGCTGGGGTCGGTGTCAAGTCATATGCATGCGTGGCAGGGCCGAATGTGCTAGTTGGGCGGGGCATGCAGCATGGAACCCGGTCAAACATGCTGCTTCGAGGGGCTGGAGGGCCACCCGGCATCCATTACGCGCCATAATCACGGCTACGGACTCCCCATACATAGGCTATGATGTGGCTAAGAGCTGGGGTCGGTGTCAAGTCATATGCATGCGTGGCAGGGCCGAATGTGCTAGTTGGACGGGGCATACATGCAGCATGGAACCCGGTCAAACATGCTGTTTCGAGGGGCTGGAGGGCCACCCGGCATCCATTTCGCGCCACAATCACGACTACGGACTCCCCATGCATAGGCCATGAGGTGGCTAAGAGCTGGAGTCGGTGTCAAGTCAAATGCATGCGTTGAAGGGCCGAATGTGCTAGTTGGGCGGGGCATGCAACATGGAACCCGGTCAAACATGCTGTTTTGTGGGGCTGGAGGGCCACCCGGCATCCATTTCGCGCCACAATCACGGCTACGGACTTCCCCATACATAGGCCATGAGGTGGCTAAGAGCTGGGGTCGGTGTCAAGTCATATGCATGCGTGGCAGGGCCGAATGTGCTAGTTGGACGGGGCATGCAGCATGGAACCCGGTCAAACATGCTGTTTCGAGGGGCTGGAGGGCCACCCGGCATCCATTTCGCGCCACAATCACGGCTACGGACTCCCCATACATAGGCTATGATGTGGCTAAGAGCTGGGGTCGGTGTCAAGTCATATGCATGCGTGGCAGGGCCGAATGTGCTAGTTGGGCGGGGCATGCAGCATGGAACCCGGTCAAACATGCTGTTTCGAGGGGCTGGAGGGCCACCCGGCATCCATTTCGCGCCATAATCACGGCTACGGACTCCCCATACATAGGCTATGATGTGGCTAAGAGCTGGGGTCGGTGTCAAGTCATATGCATGCGTGGCAGGGCCGAATGTGCTAGTTGGACGGGGCATGCAGCATGGAACCCGGTCAAACATGCTGTTTCGAGGGGCTGGAGGGCCACCCGGCATCCATTACGCGCCACAATCACGGCTACGGACTCCCCATACATAGGCTATGATGTGGCTAAGAGCTGGAGTCGGTGTCAAGTCAAATGCATGCGTGGAAGGGCCGAATATGCTAGTTGGACGGGGCATGCAACATGGAACCCGGTCAAACATGCCGTTTTAAGGGGCTGGAGGGCCACCCGGCATCCATTTCGTGCCACAATCACGGCTACGGACTCCTCATACATAGGCCATGAGGTGGCTAAGAGCTGGGGTCGGTGTCAAGTCATATGCATGCGTGGCAGGGCCGAATGTGCTAGTTGGGCGGGGCATGCAGCATGGAACCCGGTCAAACATGCTGTTTCGAGGGGCTGGAGGGCCACCCGGCATCCATTTCGCGCCATAATCACGGCTACGGACTCCCCATACATAGGCTATGATGTGGCTAAGAGCTGGGGTCGGTGTCAAGTCATATGCATGCGTGGCAGGGCCGAATGTGCTAGTTGGACGGGGCATACATGCAGCATGGAACCCGGTCAAACATGCTGTTTCGAGGGGCTGGAGGGCCACCCGGCATCCATTTCGCGCCACAATCACGACTACGGATTCCCCATACATAGGCCATGAGGTGGCTAAGAGCTGGAGTCGGTGTCAAGTCAAATGCATGCGTTGAAGGGCCGAATGTGCTAGTTGGGCGGGGCATGCAA